TTTTTTTTTTTTTCGAGCACATGTACAATGCACTTGTGCTAAAAAGCAGTCTTAGAAGGACTTCTGTTTGCAGCCGTGACGATAGGCAGTACCAAGCTTCCCCTCTCATCAGAAACTCTAAAACTGGACGAAAATATATATGATGTAAGTCTTTTTAGACAGTGGACAATAGGTGGAACAGGTCTGCGATCAGAGAGAGAAAGAAACATATAAGGTGATGACACTCAGGAGACCCCAAGCAGGATAAATACAAAGAGAACCACATGTAGGCAAGTGACAGTCAAACTTCTGAAAACCAAGAGAACAAAGACCTATTATCCACAGGAGAACAGCAGCATGACTAGTGGCTGACTCCTGACCACTCGGAAAATTAGAACACATTTGCACGACATCCAAAATGCAGCTTAGCTCTTCTCCAAACAGCCGAGACTCNGGGAATCAACTAGGTTGCCATGTTTATACCGTACACATTAAGGCCCATTTCCACCAAAGTCTAATAATACAGTTCTGACTTTTATAAGAAGGTAAAGTTAATTATATAGGTTACTGTTATAGATTATATGCAAGCATATTTTTTAGGCTTTTCAGGAAATTTCTGTCATCATTTAGACCTACTGAATGGTTCGTTTCATTGCAAGCATTTTCCCAACTTTATTGATGGGAATTTAAGCTCTTTTCTTAAACTGAAGAAATGCCTAGTACATTTATAGGGTTATAAAAGAGTAGAAAACACAACACCTTCCCTCAGAGAGTTTCAGAGCTGATGTTCATCAGAAAGACTATAGAGCAGAAGTTGTAGACATTTAAATCTAAACTATCCGTGTATGCTATTAAATTCCATGTATTTTCCCAGCACTGGTGTTTGTTATACAGGACTTATTCCGTAAAAATCGGTTGATTACACGGATTGAACAGTGCTATTTGTTGTTGTTAAAGCAGAAAATAACTGGATTAAAACTATGATTNTACTTCAGCCTGACAAGTCTTTCTTGCTCTAGATGGGTATCACCCCAGGAAGGCATCATGCCCTGGGGGGTGTTTTCTCTTTTGTGTGCACAACGGTCTCTCAGTTAATCTGTTTGGTGCCATTCCCTGCTCTAATATAGACTTTTCGCCCCCTTTTTTTGTGAATTCAGCAAGTTGGAATTGACCGGAGCAACATTCCAAATCTTACGCTGGTGAGTGTATCTGTCCTGTGTA